GGGGGTCTATTCTCGAATCTCTACTAACAATGTCGACTACGACAAATGTCACTTATAATTGTCGCATACTTTTGTAAAACTGTATTCTCGAGCAGTAGTAGACACTGTTTATACTATTCGAAATTTTGACGCATGACTAAATTTGTCAACACTGGATAACGACTCTACATTATCGATAAAACAATTTTTTTGACATTTTTCTGCGTGAGTTTTGTTCTCTGTTCACTGGTTTACTAGTTTTATTTTTTACAATTTTTAGATAAATTAAAGTACTACCTATTTGACCCAAAATTTGTTAGCTGGCAATGGAGATAAAAAAGAATTATTATAGTCAAAGCCAAAAAAACTTACGTTTGATTCTCGCTTTTGGCGTTTTATAAACGGTGTAACCAATTCTATAAAATTGATTACCAGTTGTTTACTTCTAAATATTTTCATAAACGCGTGATCTTCGAGTAGAAATGGATCATATTTCTTATGATACATCTCCTATTTTGTACCGCATCCTCTTGAACTTCTAAATTTTCAATTGCAACAAGCATATTTACGTTCAAGTTAGCAATTTTTAATTTTCTATGACCTTCAATCATTAAATCGCATACGACAATCCAATGTCGAGTGGTATTTACCCACTCGCTGCAGATTCTACCGAAAATTGTAGAGTGCGACATTCAAGAATACTCATATTCGCAAGTCGTGCAAATCTGGATCGACATTTTGGAAAGTCGTATGCGACTTGCGTTAATCGAGATTCGAGAATAGACCCCCAGGGCATCAAGCTAAACCGTCTATATGAAAATCTGACGCGCTCGAGTATTTCAAAATGGCGATTTTTTTTGTATTTTCAAAAATCTTCCACGAGTTTGCGTCACATCCGAATCGTCAGTCTTTTGAATGGGAGCTTCGTTCAGGTTCACTTAACATCCCCACTGAATATCTGACGCGCTCGAGAAATTTTTTTTTCCCCCATTTTTAACCTTTCCATATGACCACCCCCACCATCCAAATCGGCAGATTAACATATCTCCGTTATCTTATCGGAGACACGTAGGGCATATACACTATCAATATCTGACGCGCTCGAGTATTTCCATGTGACTGTTTTTTTTTACATTTTTGAAAGCCTGTAGGCGCTCTCCCCACCAGTGAATGGGTATACATCATATAACCTTTTTTTCTTTCTACCATCTAATCTTCAAAATCCAATCGGTCCCTATGACGCTCGAGTAAATCCCCGTTTAGCATCGTGGGCTCCCCTACTATCTATCATTTTATGGGTTGTTTGCGCCTACACCGGCCGCATTTGCGGTCGGGGTAGACGACGGATGGGGCCCACCTACGAAGGTTGTCCAGGCCTACACGAGATGAGGCAAGATAAAGAGGGATAATCCCCCTCGATCCCAAATCATTAAAGCCAATTTCTAGCCATGGAATAATGGCGCAGCGCGCGATGGCGCGTTTAATTGTTATTAACAAATCAATTTTTTAAAAGGCTGTAAAAAGTTTATTTTTAGCTAGTACAATTTTTATGCATTAATAGTTACATTTTCTCATAACAAACATATACTATTTTGAAAATTAAAAAATATTAACTTTAACCAAAGTTATTGCTAATTTAGTGCAAATATTACCAATTTTACCATACCTCTGGTTCTATTGGACGAATTGAGACGCACGACACCTCATTATAAA